TTTCTTTTTCAATTGCATAAATTAAGGCAGTGTCACTCGATTGGTATGCACATTTGTACAGATTTGTAAATTTTTATATTGGGCTATTGTTAAAAAAACAAGTAATTTTTAGCAAAAAAAAAACCGACTTAAAAAAATATATATATATCTCTATATATTTCATGATTCAACGATCGGATCTAAACCAAATTAGTATGGGACCACCTCTGAGACACTACCTTTCCGTTGCCAAAAAAATTATCGAAATCGGTTGACGTGGTCCAAAGTTATGCGGTAACATACATAAAAAAAAAATAAAAAAAATATTCCGACGAACTGATAACCTCCTTCTTTTTTGGAAGTCGGTTAAAAAAAAGGGACAATTTGTTTTGTAGTCAAAAGATTGGTACAATACAGTGATGTTCTATTGAAAAATTTCAATAAATCGGTTTTCGTGATTGGGATAAAGAAAATTATTTTGGGTGTTCACACAATTGGGATACGATTTGCACCAAATTTTGGCAAATACGCAATCGTGTGACACTGCCTTTAAACTTGTATTTAGACGGATGTTGGTAAAGAACGAACTATAAAAAACTAACCGAAATTAAATAACAACAAAAATTGTATTTTAAAACTTGTCAAAATTTGGTGCGGCTATAATTTTTTCGACTATTGTACATAAGTTGCCTATGATTACTCGGCCGTGCTATCATAGAAGCACAATGCCACTCATATTAGACTTACAAACAAAATATGGGCAGGAATTCCAAAATTTCAACCCTGCTTTTGTGAAAAATTTTATTTTTATCAGTATTTTTCTTTTAATCAATATATGTTGAAATAAAAGTGAAACTAAAAAAAATTTTCCAGCGTTTTCCAAGCAATGAACTCAATTTATATTTGATCAGATGAAGGTCAGGTATGATAAAGTGGTGAACTCCAAGGCTTTCCAAGATGAAGATTTAGTGTCGCTGTACAATTCACAACGTAAGAAAGATTTACCCCCAAAATTACAGTGTAACTAAGAAGCTTCATATAAGGTTGTCAAATGACTGAATGTATCGAATTCAGACCGTTGAGAGACCGAGAGCCAATATAAAGTTTCTCCACTTGAAGAGGCTTGCAGCATTTATAACAGCAAATGTTTCTGACCGGAATGATTATAATTTGGTAAATGACAATGTGGCGAATACTGTGAACATGCGAAAATGAGTACAAAGCGGACCAATAGAGAATGACAGACCGTTCGTTAGAAATCGTAGAAGCTTCAATGACTAGAAACGCCAAAACCAATGTTCCGGAAATTCCAAGAAGTGTGCTAACTAGAAACGCATATCGGTGCAGGTATATAAAGGATTTGCAGCATCAAAGAGGGAGGTCAGTTGCGTGATAGGTAGCTACGAGTACAGAGAGTTCTGTTGCCAATTAGCAAGCAACGAGTAAAGTTACAAAATGTATACTTGAAGTGTTGAGTTGTTGTAAATCATTAATTATAAAATAAAGTTAGTTTAACTGAAGTTTGAATGCCTTTTTTAAAAATCCAGTGAAATTAACAGGATTGAGAAATCCCCAACTAATTTAAGGATAATTGTAACATTATGGCACAAAAAGTTCGCAAAAGGACTAGCGTTGCCAGACTTAAAATGAAAGATTAGAAGGCTCAAAAATACGTAGTTATTTTGTTATTATTTGGGGACTCAGAAGGCGTGATAAGCGTGGTAATTATTATGTCTTATACATTTTCAATGTAATATATGTAACTATTAAACTGGCATTAAAGTATTTCTAACTATACCGCATTGCTTTTGAACTAATAGAAAATATACATATAATTAGCTCTTATCATACAGAGCGAATCCCCTAAAAACATTTTAATCGTTTAGTTATGTAGAAAAATACACTTTTTACGCCTTGTGAATCCCCTAACTAAAGCAAAAACCACTAATAAAAAAAGAAATATTTGCGCTATTTGCCCACCATCCAAACGGCGAATGACAAAAGCTGAAATTAGTCAAGAACGCAGAACGTATACCTAAACGCAGTCTGTATACGCAGAATTTTGTCGATTACTGGAGCCCTCAGTGTTGCCACTCATGAATACCTTTTCATAAACTTACCTTTTCAACTAAAATTTTTCGTGATATAATAGATCGTAGCTAAATCTTAACTACTTAGTTTTCAACAAAAAACATTATTCAATAGTAAATTTCAAATATTTTAAACGTATTTTGAATAGTAACTTATAACTTTTTTTCCATCTGCAAAACTAACGAAGTGGCAACCATCTATAGAAGGGAGAAATCAGCTGACACGGAAAAATCTAAATTCCGCAGATTTCTGCGCTACGGGCCACAACTACAGAAAAATTCTGCGATTTTGAGTTTTCATTAACATGGCGCTCTGGTAAAATAGATCGTGTCAGCTGACTCGGGTTTACGTACCGGTAGGTTTACGTTCTTGACTAATTTCAGCTTAAATCTTCATATGCCAAATATGAAAAAAGCTTGTGTGGAGAGCAAAAAATTGATCTCTGTGCCGCATGTGCAAAATAAAGTTTAAAACTTATAAAACAGAGTTTTTATTTAAGTCCTATACTTGATTTCCAACAAGCCTTAACTGCAGTTTATGCCGTTTGAAAAACGGAGATTACAACACCTATTAAGTAGAAGCAAACGAAAAGCGAGCAAAATTTAAGAAAAAAAACCTTGCCAATAGGCTATTAAGCAGAAAGGGTAACTTCAGAACTAATTTGCGAAATTTAATTTGATTAATGTTACTTTTTTCAGAGGCTCTGAACCAAAAAATAAAAAACAAATTGAAAATGAATAATTTAAATTTTAAGTTTAATATCACATTAAAATAAATAAACAAGCTTTCAAATTTTTAAATAAATATTTCGAATAAAAGAGGGCATTTTTATTATATTGGGTTTGGATCTAGGTGCAATCTGGGGTAAGTTTAAAACTGGGTGTCGCCGTTTCGACGAAAGATGCCTTTACCGTTCAAAAAATATGAGAGTCCTTCTAGGGTTAAAAGACTCTGCTCAAAGGATTTTTTATCAAATATGGGTCAAGTTCTAATATTTTTAATAGTTCTTTTATTTTATTATTACCCATTTTATTATAATAAATTCCATTAATGCATAAAAGTAGATATAGAAAAAATATAAACGAGATCATATCTCGGTCTGACACACCGCGCGCGAGTACATACATACATATGTTACACTTTGAGACGCGAGTACAGGAAGGTTAAATGAAACCCAAAACATTTCTGAAATTCCTTTTTTGTCCTTTTACTAAAATCTGAATGCAAAATTTTCTCTAAAAAGCTTTGCTGCACATTTTATATTAGGAAATGCAAGATTTTATTTTTATGAAAACAGATCAAAAAATAAAACGTAAATAGAGAGATATGGGCGTTCATGTATTAAGGACGCTGACTGGTGTGGATTTTTAAAGGCTATAGCTGGAGTTTTTTGCAGCTTATCTACTGTGTTACGAGTATCTAGTTCTACAGCAGTTGCAATGAATTTTGATTTGCTCTTTTCTAGGGTTCGTCTTTTTGGATTCGGAAATAGTGTAGAGGTAGTGAATTGCTTCGCTCCCCAACAAACATTTGGATTTGAGCTCAAATTGGGGTTAAGTTGAGAACTAAGGTATTTCTCAAATCTCAAACGTTGTTTCTCAACAGTACCTCAAATGGAGGATGATAGCGTTCTCAACAAAAAGGGCATTTTTCTTTGTATAAAAATAGGACTGCTTCTCAAGTTAAGAAAAGGCTAATTCTTAACTTGACCTCAAATGTGATTATCTAATTGGTCTCAAACATGTCAGTGAAATACTGAAATTAAAATAGTATAATGGTTTATACCTTTTTAATTGAAACGACATAGATAAATTTAAATCAAGCTTACAGTGAGTTTCGTCCGAACACAATTTCGCACGAAATTCACCCAAAGTGATTACACGGAAATGAAAAGTAAAAAGGGAACCTGTTCGAAGAAAATAAACTCATTTTCCTCTTTATATAGCTTTAGTTTTTACTTGATAATTAACAATTCGTTTCTCATCACTATTTACGTATCTACGCGACGATTTTATACTTTCAAATGCATATGTTTTGCCAACGGTGCATTTTTTTTTTTGTATTTTTGCCATGTTGGAGAAAATTGTTTTTCTCAAGTTCATCTCAACTTTCAGTCAAAGTTAGAGATGAGTTGGAGAATGATATTGTATGTTGGATATCAACTTGAAAACTATGATTTTCTACAAGGTTTGAGAAATATTATTTTGGTGTTTGTTGAGCCTAATGTATTTTTAAAAATGAATGTAAGTACGGCACACAAGTAAAAACATACCCTTATGATAAATTGTAAGAGCCTTGTTTTGGAAGGGGACCCTTTTCCTTTATACTTCCTTTACAGAGTGCAATATGTATTTGAATATACCACATATCAGGGTTAATCAATAACGTACCTAAATAATACGATATTCGGTAATACCATAAAATGGTAGCTCCTCAAAGTAAGCATACTTTTTGCGAATACAAAGAAACTATTAACGCATTCTTTGTTCTAAATTAAGACCTTTTTGCTATTTTTACGAAACTTACGTATGTATATATGCATTAGATACCATAAGCGGGTTTGTCTACTTTAATTGCATTTGATTACTTGTTATTTTACCTTGTTTTACCCTTGCATCGCAAAAGAAAACTGGTTGTCTTGCAATTTATTTGGCACACTTGCATATACATACACAAACTAATCCAAGGGCTTGATACAATTTTCTTTGTGGTTTAATGTTACACAACTTGAAACTAAACTGCTTAACAAAACACTAAGAAAGAACTGAGAAAATAAAATGTACAACTAAGCAAACTACTAGTTACACAATTTCAGTCACTTCATTGAGCTACCGACAACAAATTTCCATTAAAATAAATATATTTTTAGGTAAACACAATCAGCATTTTGCCTTTATAATCTTTTCTCTCGCACCTCTCACACTACTTACCCCGTCCATAGCACGAATTCGACATTGTCGCCTTGTCGCGACTTCATTGCTTTCGCCGCCGACTCAATTAGACTCCAAGGACTGTCGCAGAAGTAATCACCAAAGCGACCCGGTGAACGAATGGCAGCGCTCGGCGATTGACCGTCAATCCGCCAGCAACCTGCAAAGAAAAAAGCGTAAATGGAAAAAGTCGTTTTAGAAATGCT